GAAGAAGAAGAAGAAGAAGAAGAAGAAGAAGAAGAAGAAGAAGAAGAAGAAGAAGAAGAAGAAGAAGAAGAAGAAGAAACGGAGGAGGAGGAGGAGAGCAGGGCTGGATGGCTTCCAGGTTCTTTTCAACACTGTCCCTCCGACGCTCTGCCTCAATACCCCATCCTGATTTCAGAAATACCAAGCAGAGCCTTGCTACAGGTGGTTCTCTCCCCTGACCCCACCTGGTTTTTAGAGTTTGTTGTTGTTGATTTTTTTTGGTTCAAGGGATCGAACTTGGGACCTTGGGCTTTTGAGGCAGGCAGCGGAACCACTGAACTAAATCCCCACCCCTGTTTTTTTTGTTTCTTCTTTTTGTTTTTTGAGACAGGTTCTCACTATGTAGTCCAGGGTAGTGTTGACCTTACTATGTAGCCCAGGCTGGGCTTGAACTCCTGGCGATCCTCCTGCTTCAGCCTCCTGAGTGCTGGAATGACAGGTGTGCACCATCACACCCGGTCTCTCTCCCCCCCTCTTTGTTTCACAGTACATCAGACTCAAGCAGCAGCACCACTGGGGCTGGTTCGACCCCAACTTCACCTCCAGGTGTGTGGTTGGCTGGACAGGGGAGGGGCCTTGTTTGTCTACCAGGGTTCCTAGATCCAGACATAGCGGAAGCAGGGCTGAATGGGGACCCAGCTCCAGAACACTAGAAACATCTTGCAAATAGATCCTTCAAGAACTTAAACATAGAATTACCATATGTAGGGCCCAACAATCCCACTTGTGGGTGTCCACCCAAAAGAATTGAAAGAAAGGTCTCTCTAATAGATATCTGTGCACCCTGTACAAAGCAGCGTGATTCACAGTAGCAAAGGAAAGAAATAACCCCATGTTTCTGAGCAGATGAATGTGGTCTGTCATAGAGTGGAATAGTACTCAGCCACAAAAAAGAATGAAGCTTTGACACCTGCAGGTGAACCTTGAGGCTGCACTGCTCAGGGAGCACAGCCAGACACAGGAGGACACACACAGCGCAGGCCCCACCCCCAGGAGGCCCAGCGTGGTCAGATCCACAGGGACAGGAAGGAGGACAGTGGTACTGAGCTGGGGAGGGAATGGGGGTCAGCATTTCCTGGGACAGAGCTCAGCTGGGGAGATGGAAAGTCCTGGAGGTGGGCGGTGGGGACAGCGTACAGCCAGGTGAGTACACTTAATGACCTCAAACTGAACATTTACAAACAGCTGACACGAGCCAGGTGTGGTGACACCTCAGGGAGGCTGAGGCAGATTGATCACAGGTTCAAGCCCAGCCTGGACAACTTAACAACTTAGTAAAACCCTGTCTTAAAGTAAAAAATAAGAAGGGCTGGGGATGTAGCTCAGTGCAAAGGTGGGTAGATGAAAGGGTGAATGAGTGCATGCATGGATATGTGGATGGATGGATGCTTGGGTGGATGGATGGATAGTTGTATGGGTGTGTGGGTGTATGACTAGATGGATGAATGAGTGGGCGGATGGGTAGATGGCTGGGTGGGTGGGAGGATGGTTGGTGGATGGTTGGGTGGATGGGTAGATGGGTAGATGGTTGGAAAGGTAGATAGGAGGGTGAGAGGATGAATGGCTAGGTAGGTGGGTGGGTGAGTGAGTGGATGGGCAAATGGATGGACAGCTGGATGGGTGAAAGAATGGATGGCTGGGTGAATGAGAGAATGGATAAACTGTGATGTGTTCACTGTAATAATAGTCAGTCCTAATGCAGGCTCCAATTCCTTGCAGCATAAAGAGACCCACCATGTCTACCCTCACTGTGGACATCGCCAACAAGGAGATCTCGTGTGTGGATTTGAAGCCCCTGGTAGGTCCCAAACCTTTTCTATCATATATTCTGTGTCCGAGTAATAAGTCACAGAAACAGGAGCTAAGGAGCTGACTGAGCTCTTGTTCAGGATCTAAGAATGGTAGGGATTCTGTCTTGATTGCTGGGATCACTGCCCCCCATCCTTGCCCCTGAGAGCTGCCCCACTCCCCAACCTCTGTGTCAGTGCTTTTCCTTACTGGTCATCCTCAGAGCTGCTCCTGGCAAGTCAGGTACTAGCAAGCACTCCATGAGATGCTTCATGAGAACTGAAGACAACACTCCTGACCTGGTAACATTCATGTTCATGGCTGGGTCATTCGCAGTGGCCAATGGTGGAAGTAATGCAAGTGTCCATGGATGGACCAATGGGTACATGCAGTGTACCATGTCCATCCACATGCTGGAATATTACACAGCCACAAAAAGGGATGATGCTGTGATGCTCACCACAGTATGGAGGGACCCTGAGGACGCTGTGCTCAGTGAGAGACGCCAGACACAGAGGACACAGCGTGGGCTCCATGGACAGGAAATGCCCAGGACAGGAGAATCCTCAGAAAAGAGTGGGAAGGAATGGGAGTCAGTGTTTCATGGGGACAGAGGTTCAGTTTGGGAAGTGGAGCAAATTTTGGCCAAAGTGAAGACTGCACAGCCAGGCACATGTGCTCAGTGCTGCTGAGGCTTGGGGCCAGCTGTGGTCACAGCACATCCTGGCGTCCAGGTCCCCGTGTGGGGGACGCAGGCCACAGTGTCTCAAGCCCTTCCCACGTGACTGTGCCCCTCTGTGGGTCCTCACTGAGGCCAGTTCCTGGGGCCCCCCACTAACCTGCGTCCCATCTGTCTCTAGACGGCGCTTATTTCCATTGGTTGTGACCGGGAAAAGAAGCTTATCGTGCAAAAGTGAGTGTGTGTGGATATCTGGATGGACAGGATGGGGGGCAGGCATGTGGGGTGGCAGGGGCCACAAGGTGATGACTGGGAGGTGGATGACATCAGATTTTTCCGCCTACTTTGGGGTATGTTTAACATTTCCCAAAATAAAAGTTAACCCAGGCATGGTGGTCCAAGTCTGTTATCCCAGCACTCGGGAGGCTGAGGTAGGAGGATTGCCACAAGTCTGAGGCCAGCCTGGGCTACATAGCAAGATCCTGTTCAAAAAAGAAAAAGAGGGCTGGGGATTTAGCTCAGTGGTTCTGCCACCTGCCTCACAAGTGCAACGTTCCAAGTTCAATCACCAGTACCAAAAAAATCCCCCCCCAAACAAAAAAACAAACATTAGACAATCCCCAGTGACTGTGCCACAAAACACACCAGCAGTTCCCCACGGAGCCGTTCAGGTCATGCAAAACAAGAGAAGACTGAGCTACTGTCCCCACAAAGAGGAGCCTAGGGAGATGAGGGGACTAAATGTCACATAGGGTCCTGGATGGAGTTTCAGGAAGAAGGACACTAGGGGAAAGCTAAGGAAATATGAGGGAAAAAAATCCCAGGAACTAGTTAACAACAGTGTATCAACATGGGCTCCTTGGTTGTAACAAATATGTCAGACTAATGAAAGATGTTACCTTGGAGACTGTGGGTGGCTGCATGGGAACTTTTTATACTGCTTCTGCAAGGTTTTTGCAAATATAGAATTAATCTAAAATAAAAATATGTCGATCCCTGGTACTAAATAAATAAATAAATAAAATTAAAATATGGGTTTTTTCCATTAAGTTTACTGATACATTTTAGATATAAAATACAGTTACATTCATCATTGGTATCTTGTACCTGTACATGATGTATCTTGGTTCTTGTTTTTTCCCCATGCCCCTGCTCGCCCTTCACCCCCTCCACCCTTCCCTATTTGCAAAGACTTTGTTTCTACTTTTTTCCTTTTCTCATATTTTTTCTTTTCCCTTTTTTCCTTTCCTCTACCCCTCCCACTTCCCCTGTTCCTTTAGACCTTTTCTTCCTATTACACAATATCAATTATACATTTTTTAAAATTACAATATCAAGATCTAGGAGACATTACCACAGATTTTACAGAATTTAAAAGGATATAGCAAGAATATTACAAAAATCTTTTTTGGAATAAATTTGACAACTTCTAAGAAGTACCTTGGAAGACAAATTAATGAAACTAACTCTAGAGGAAATATAAAATTTTAATAGCACCTATTAAAGAAAGTATATTCCTAGCTTGAAAACCTACCTATATGACAACAGCAGGCTCATATACATTTTAACTG